TTTATTTGAAGTAAGAATGACTACAAATGATGTTATAAATATTTTATTTGAAGGAAGTTATAAAGGTCTTAACAATGATCAAATAATAGGATGAACTTCTCACCTTAGAATGAGACATTATTGATGGCTGAGAGGACCTATCAACTATCTTCAAAAGAAAAAAAGATCAAAGCATGTGGCAAATATAATTTGCTACATCTTAGACTTCATCAACATGTGATTACCGCTCCTTGTAGAACTTGTTTTTAAAAGGAGAGATAATATCACGGACATATATTTATTATAATTATTATTTAAGTAATATAAATATGTTGAAGTAAGTAAAAGTAGATTAATTTCATAACATCTTTTAAAAAAACTTCTTAAAAGTTTCAAAGACACTATTTTGATTTTACATGTATTAGTAGTTGATTGATAGGTAAGAAACTTAGTCAAGAACTTAATTACATATCATACATATTAGTAGCTTACAAAATAAGTTAACTATATAGTATCTATATAGAATATTTATCTTACAAATTAAGATATGTGTTGTACAAAGTCAATATGTTTTAGAGGTCCTATAGAACATTACCTTATAGCTCCTAAGTAGATAGTATATATAGAGGCAAGAGTGAAGCCTTCTTTACTCTTATTAATTCCTTTCTTACTTTCAATTTAATTTCAAGAGTCTTTAATTTTTTTTTCTTCTATTAATAGTTATTTTAATTTTTTTTTAATATACATACTTTTTATTTCTATTTTTTCATACTTCTTTGAGAAAGGTTCACTTCTTTATTTGCTTTCATCTAAATCTTGTCAAGGACATATACATTTATCCTGATAATTATCTAAATAATAAGAATAGGTATAAATAAGTCAAAATAGATAAATATGATAATATCTTGTGGAAAACTTCCTAGAAGCTTCATAGACACTGCTTTGCTTATATACATGTCTATAGGTGATTGGTAGGTTGAAAACTTGGCCAATAAGGAGGCACGTGTCAACATGTTGATTACTTGTAATACAAGTTGGACATATGGCGCACACCTAGGAAACTTGCCTTGCAAATTAGACATGTAACTTGCAAGTTGAATGTGTATAAGAGGTCTTGTAGCATGTTGCCACATAGTTCTTAATTAAGTAGTATATATAGAGGCAAGAGTGAGGACTTCCTCACTCTTATCAACTCTTTTCTTGCTTTTAGTTTAGTTTTAAGAATCTTATGTTTTCTAGTCTTTGGCAATAACCATTCCAATTCTTCCTTGAATATACATACTTTCTTCTATTTTGTCACTTTTCTATTAACACAGATTCCACGAGTTTATGTAACTTCTTCTAGTTTGTATCCTTGACAGATCTTATTTTTAATAAAAAGATCTATAGTAAAGAAATTTTTATAATCATGGATTTATTTCAAGAATAGCATGATTATCATGAAGGCGCTTTTAATCTAATCACTATGTATATAGATCACAAGAACTTCAAATACTTTATATTGGCACATATTTTGAATCATTGCCAAACTTGTTAGAGTATGTTTTTATCAAGATTTGATTTCAATGTCACTTATCAATGTGAAAAATAATATTTGTCAAATTTCTTTCTTAAACATTCTTATCTTACTTCCAAATAAGAAGATGTAGCTTTTGATTAAGAAAGAATCATTTTCTTGAAGTTAGAGCATTTTTATCTTTGAGCAATGAAATCAATATTGACAATTGATTCAACATTTTTCAAGCAAGTTCAATTAAGTATGTTCTTAAATCTTCTTGTTTATGATATTAAAAATAATTCCTTTAATTCTCTCAATACTTCTAAGTTTGAAGTTAAGATTAATTTATTTTATTTTAAGGGATGATTACATATTTCAAAAAACAAAGTTTAATTAAGAATATTTCAAATTCATCATAACTTTCTATCAATTCAACATTTTGGATACAACAAGACTTTGAGCTAATATCTAGAGATTTTTGGTGGCATTAAATGTGGAAGGTAGTTAAAGACATTGTAAAATCATGTAATATTTGTTCAAGATCAAAAATTCCTTATCATTGACCTTAAGAACTTCTTCTGCCATTACCTATTCTAGAACAACCATGGTCTTTTGTTTCTATAGATTTTATCATAGATCTTCTAATCTCAAGTTCTTATGATTCTATGTTAATAATAATAGATTCTTTTACTAAAATAGTGCATTTTATACCATGTACAAAATCTATCACAAGTGAAGAAATAACTAAGCTTTTCCTTGACAACATCTATCACTATTATGGATTATCTAAAGATATTATATTAGATAGAGGGACTGAATTTATATTAAGATTTTAGAAATTTCTTTTCAAGATTCGTAAGATAAACATAAAACTATCTTCAATTTTTTATCCTCAAATCAATGGACAAATAAAGCAAACAAATTAAGTTTTGAAGCAATATATGAAATATACCATCAATTATCAAAAAGATGATTAGATAATTCTTTTACCATTAGTAGTGTTTGCTTATAATAACATAGTACATTCTGCTATGAAACAAACATCTTTCTTTAAAAATTGTGATTATCATCCATAATTTGATGTTTTTGACTTTTCAAAATTTGATAATCCTAAGGCAAAAGATTTAGCAAATAAAGCTACATACAATAATGAAGGCACAATTAAAAGAAGTTAAAGAAAAATAAAAGACAAATATAGATTGCTATTGTAAGGAGTAACTTCAATTTCATGTTGGCGACAAGATATAGTTACTTCATTAAAATATCAAGTCTACTTGACCTTATAACAAATTAGACTATTGTAAGCTTAAACCATTTTTTATTTGTAAACAAATCAATTTAGTTGCTTATCAATTATATGTACTAGAGTTTATAAAGATATTTTTTGTATTCCATGTTTCTCTTCGCAAATCATATAAAACAATGAATATCTCGGAAAGAAGACAAATACCACTTCTTCTTATAGAAGTAGATAATAATAATAAAGAATTCAAGGTAGAAAAGTCTTAGATTCAAAGTGGTACCAAAACAGGTTAAAATATTTTGTTCATTTTGCACACATATGATATTAGTGAACATATATAGAAGCCTACAAAGAACCTTGTAAATGTAGTAAAGAAGGTTGATGCTTTTTATTGATAATATCCATCTAAACTAAGATGAAGAATAATAAATCTTTGCTATCAAAGAAAAAAGATTTAAGCAAGATTATATTCTAGCTTCTATCTTTGTTTGTAGTTTCTATGGCACTAAGGAGATGGATAATCAACAATCAATAGATTCAACTCAAAAATTATCGTTTGCTGACTTGCTAAATAAGACATTGCAAATGTCATGACCTTCAAGATGATGTAATAGAAGCAAAGACCTTCAAGAACAATATATTTTTTTTTGAATATATGTTTAAAATTCATTTGATATCATGGCCTTGGAAGAGACTTCTGATGTTTGGTGATTTTATTGGAGATAGGAACAACTCTTGATGGTGTTACAAATGTTTTATTTTAAAAAAAAGTTATAAATGCCTTAATAATGATCAAATAATAGGGTGGTCTTTCTGCCTTGGAATGGAAAATTATTGATGGCTAAGAGGACCTATCAATCACCTTCAAAGGAGAAAATATCATAATATGTGGCAAATACAATTTGTCATATATAATTTGTCATATCTTGAACTTCATCAACTTGTGATCAACACTTCTTGTGGAACTTGTCTCTAAAAGAAGGGGTAGTATCACAAACATACATATTTACTCCAATAATTATTCACATAATATGAATAAGTGCAATAGATTAAAATGAATAAATTAGACAACATTCTTATAAGAAAATCTCCTAAAAACTTCATAGACATGGCTTTGATTTTATATGTATTCATAATTGATTGATAGATTAGAAACTTGACCAATAAGTTAGCCACATGTCACATGTTTTGATACCAACTAACTATATGGCGTACATGTAGAAAACTTATCTTATAAGTTAAGTCACTTGTCTTGGAAGTTGGACATGTGTTGAAAGTCTTATAGAACGTCACCAAATAGCTTTTAGTTAGATTTTATATAAAGAGATAAGAATGAAGCCTTCTTCACTCTTGGCAACGTCTTTTTAGTCCTTCATCTTATTTCAAGATTTTTTAGTCTTTTTATTTTTTAGCAATAGTCATTCCAGTTTTAATATTATATTAGTTTTGAGTGAATATTTATTCTTTCTAAGTAATACAAGAATGTATTGAATTTTTTTTCTTTTTTTGAGATTCATGTCCTTAACACTTTTAAATATACTAAAATAATGGTTGAAAAATGATGTTCTATCTTTAAGCATTGTTCCTTATTTATTAAGTCTATTATGACATTTTAATTTTTTAAATCCTTATATTTACTATATTTGTAAAATCTACAACTATTCTTTATCTTAAAATTCATTAAGTTTTATATCTATATTAATTTATCTTATCATCTTATATTCAATTATTTTAATTTTCTTTATGGCTATTATTATTATTTAGATTATAATCTTTACAATTATAAGATTTAAACTAATTCACTTAAATAAATGTCAACTGAAAACATGTCATTTTGGTAAAAAAATGAACATGTATATTACTGAAATGTCTTGTTTGTAATGTGTCTCTGAGTTGAAGTCCAGTTGCAAGTATGAAAAAAAACTAACACAATTTTTCCAAATCAATGGCATAGACAAACTGCATAACAAAATTAATGATAGAAAAATAAATTGTTTTGATAACCAATGCTTTTATAGCCAAGCTAGTAAAAATATTACTTTAATAGATTTTGTAACATAATTTGTTAAGAAAACTTAAAAAATTAAGTTAAATCTATAAATCTTCAAAAATTCTAAAAGAATAAATAATTGTAAACCTAAAATTTGCATTTTGTGCAGAGAATTTCATTCACGCAGTTTTAACCTCTGTCCAAGTCTAGAACCCACATCTACAATGACACTTAAAATCAGACTCACAAGCACAATTCGCCAACACACTTGACGAGAGAAAAACTTGACATGAGGGCGAACAGGAAAAGCATGCTTCTGTATTATTGAAGGAAAAAAAATATATAAGACAGGAAGAAAAATACGCAAGTATACATGCCGCATACAAAGGCCTTGATGATGCAGTGAATCTGGGAGCTTCTACAACCCCAACCAGTTGATAATGGATCGCAGTTGCTGGTGGTGGCTTGATGCACAGCCCCAAGCAATCCTAAAGCTTGATGGTGGAGCCGAAAAGAGAGAACGAGAGAAAAGGTTTCAGCAGGTTTCACTCTTTGGGCCTGCGTCGTAGTCCAGATCCTTGCAAGCTACGAACTGCAACTCGCACCACACCCACAGCACTCAGTTGCTTGGCATCTGCTCTGAGACTGGCACCTTGCACAACAGGCACATCAGCTTCACTGACGTTCAGCTGCACCCCCACGAAGTATGCCACTCCACCTGTGGCACTTCGCACTGGTGCGACGTGTAGGTGGTTCCAGAATGGTGTATTGTCTTTCCTGCGAAAAAACATGGAGGCCGCACTTAGCTTCTGTTTTCAGCTACGGCGTTGCAATTTAGGCTTTGTGGGTGGCTTATGCTCGCAAGAAGATGAAGAAACAAAAATAGAACAACAAAAAGAAAAAAAGAAATAAGAGCCCGACTTTGTCCAGCGCAAGATGATGATGCCATGCTTACTTGTAGTTTAAGATTCGCACAGTGTAAGGCCGCTCTGCCTTGATAGCTTCACGTATCTGCGAGATGCAACATTTGGAAAGGTGAGTACAATTATGCACGACTGGGAACTATGGTTTGAGAATCGAGAATACGAGTTTGACAACAATTTCTAACAAGCGCCTTTTGAAGATGGAAGATGAAGGGATTGTCCAAAGACACTGAAACAATGGAAGTGCTTCTAATTCCAAGGCATGGTCTCGTGACAGATCGACACATTAACGAGGAAGCAGAAACAATGGTATACGCAGTTAGAAGTCACTGCAGCCAGGTGAAGAACGCGATTTATTTGATGCAACATTGATATGAGAAATTATCCGGCACATTGGATTACCTCGCGCACAGCCTCCGGATCCGTGTCAGGGCCCTGCAGAAATCGGCAATTTCGACCGACGACTTCCTCACGGCTGTAACCTGTTCGCACATAGCATCCAAGGTATAAGTTACAATGATAAGTTTCCTTCTAATTGTTTCCGACACTTCAGCAAACGTGGTGGTGAACACTTATGTTCGCCATTACGAGTGCGTGTATAATGCATGAGCGAGGTTACAATGCTGACCGGTCAGTTCGCAGAAGACATCACTGGCATGGACGATGGGTGTATCTGGTAGATTTGGATCAGATCTGAAGCATTCACGAAGGATAAACGGTTAAAACAAAGCAAGTAATTAAGCAGTGAACAAATATCGGGCTGGAACAATGAAACTGACTGATTTTCAGCTAAACGAATGGCAAGGTAATAACAGTGAAACAATTGAACTTATTCAGAAATTTCTAACAGGCGATTTGCCTGAGTATTGCAGAACAGGAATTGATGACGCAGCGTTGATTGCTTACAGGATAAGACTCTGCTGAATGCGTGTCAGCGAAAGCATTAACGATGAACTCACCACGCCTTTTGCAGCGCTCTCAGACAACCCTACGCGTCTATTTTTTTCGAGTGCACCTTTCACTCTGCTTAACTGCGTAAGCTCGCTAGTAACTTTTTCAACTGCCAGGGTTGCTTTCTGATTCACACCCTCATTCACAGGGAATAGCGAATCCTCATCTTCCACATCTGTCGCACAATCAATCAGAGTCAATCCTCAGACCCGCATCTTATGAATCTACCACAATAGTTAATTGCGTAGAACTAAATGCCAATACAAGCCCTTCACCCTCCCCCCAAAAAAACACTGGTTTGTTGAATACGTGACAAGAGAGTAAATACGACCTTTTCCATTAAAATGCTAAGTTTGTCGTCAAATGCTAACTCATACGCAAGAAAGTTTTAACGTTACAGCAATGCAGTGCGACGACCAACCTCTGCCCCTGGAGCTTGACTTCGACAAATTATCATGTGTAGACTCGCACGAATCCAAACGAGCCACATCCGTGTATTCTTTGGCGGACAGAAAGCTATCATTCATAGCGGGCAGCTCTGACAGTAAAGCTTGGGACGCAAGGTCATCAGCAATGGGCGTCTGCACGCCCACATAATGAATCACCTGACCATCACTTGAGAAGATGGGCGCCATGTGAAACAAGTTCCAGAACGGCTCCTTATACTTGGTATAATTCAAAATCAGCACTTGACACGCCCTCTCCTCCCGAATTGCATCCCGAATCTCCACAACTGTCCTGCGGTCGGTATCAGGCCCTTGAAGGAACCTACAATTTCGACCCACAACCTCGTCCCGCTCATACCGCGACATCCGCAAAAACCCCTCGCTGGCGAACACGATCGGGTGGTCCGGCAGGCGTGGGTCGCTTAACACAAAGTTGTACTCATGTTGGCCCAGCGCCTGTCCAACCTTCTCATTATATGCGCGGCTCAAGCTGTCCACGAGGTCCTCTAGCTTTGGCGACCGCCTCTTCCCGAAACTCCCTGACCTACCTCCACTCCCTTCACCCATCCTCAATTTTTCCCCGGCGGCCTCCATCACAGCAGCACCACCACCGCCACCGCTAAGAAACATGTCGCCAACTCCCCCAAGCCGCACAACCTCCTTCCTAGTCGTTCCGCAGCTTCAGAGCCAGAAATCCGCTCTCACGCTTCATAAACTGCGTTTCTCAATTGCTGCTGGACTTCCAACTTCCTCCATAGAAACTTTTCCCAGGCCTTGAGTACTGGTGTAGACTTCGATTGGCGCAAAAGCCTAGCCACAATCTGATTCTCGCATGCGAAACCCAGAACCTCAAAGCCGAAGTTGTGCCGCGTGGCAATCGGAAATGGGCGTAATGGGCAGCAAAAAGAGTCTACGAGGTGAGGTGCACAAGAACATCGACACGTCTGATGTTCAGCGTCGTTGCGTCCGGTTTTATTCGACATTTGAGCTCCTCGATGAGATCGAATCTGAAGATTCCTCTCCACGTCAGTCGCTGTAGTACGAGGTTACTGCTTTTATCCTGACCCACCCGCAGTTACCTGGAAAAACCCGAACGGCCTGGAGTTTATCTGCATCCGCAAGAAGCCTCATTTCGAGATCGTCTCGCGATCACGTTGCCCACTTCCGAAAGATGACCGAGGCTACGGCTGTGATGCGAAAACCATTCATTCGATCACCGTGGACCTCATTGCGTGGTAAACCCACGATTGTCAGACGCAAAAGCCGTAAGGGTGAGACTGCGCCATCTGCCGCAAAAGTGCCCATCCTGAAAAACTGCGCGAATTGGGCGCCAGCATATAGCAGGGATCAGCAGCTGCAAAATTTTGTGAGAAGGGTTGGTGGCCAGAGACGCTGCAGAGCAGACGGCGACGACAACGACGACTAAGCTTTTCAACTTGCGGGGCGCCACAAGCGGAGCTGCTGCGCAGGATCGATGCAAGACCAAAAGCCTCCATGCCCAAGCTTTGTCTGATTCCTTCAAGTCCCGGGCTCCATCCATGCTCGGAGCTGACGCCGCATGCTCCTTCCAGAAATCCCTCCTCCATGATTCTGTTGGGAGAGTGACGCTTTTGTCGTTCCAACTCTACTCAGCTTGTGCGCGTCCATGCTCAGAGTGTATGCGTGAGTGTTACTCGCAGAAAGTTGTGTTTGTCAAGCTGGTATATGTTGCTTCATATTACCAAGTGTTTCTCTGATGGTCACTTTCGAGTAATTCGTGTGCAATTTGAACTGATTTTTTTCTCTAATGGCCGTCTTTTTTGAAACACAACTTGAAACATAAAACATGAAACATAAAACTTGAAACATATATACACACATTAAAAATAATTTATATCTTTATATATATATATATATATATATATATGTGTGTGTGTGTGTGTGTGTATATACTCACACACACATACAGACACACACGTGTATTACACAAGGTGTGAAAGATGGGGGAAAATAAAACATTGATTGCAAAAGTAAACCGTTGACTGGTGATCAGTTTAGTATTCATGTCTGAACATGAATGTATTCATATATATATATATATATAAACAGAAAGAGAGAGCGAGAGAGTCGAGGACATATTGCATTGAAATAAAGCAGTGCTTTTTTCTGTATGGATAAGGGAGAGTTGCAGTAGATTTGATCCGCTTGGCAGGGAAGCATTTGTTGCACAAGACACTGATATTGCTGACTGGGCACAATCACCACTTTTGATGTCTGTATTTATCCATATGACAGCCTAGCAATACATTCATCTGAAGCATCCTCTTTCAAGGCACACCTTCGCAAACACAGCTTGGTGGACAGAATCAACTCCTGGCTGACGGCAAATCTTCAGCAGCATCGGAGACAACGAACAAATGAAGCGTGTGTCTGCTTGCTTTTCTTAGCTCTCGGACATACCAAAAAAACACATGAAGTTTTCGTTTTGTTTCTGTGGTCTTATCTTGTTTGTTTCTTTTTTTCTAATATGACCAAGTTACACATCATAACACAACAAGTTACCTAGAGATTACATGGTTTGTCCAATCTGAGTAATCTCTGGTTTGTCCATTGACAGTCGGGTAAGGATTGATAAAATCTCCTGTGTGAGTGTTGAATATAGGCTGTTCTACATGAGAATTTACCTACAAAAACATGGGGTATGATGGCCTTCAATTGTGAGGCTTCTTGTATTTTACAACTGGTTGTCAAACTTGATCACGAATACTGAAAAGCATCTACCTGTATATGTAGTGCATTTTCACATCATACGCTCTTTACGATATGAATATATATATATATATATATATATATACATACATATATATATATATATTCATTTTATTATAAAAACGTAATATCATTAAAGTAGTTTATGCAAGATTTTTTTTATTATTTCAATCAAATATTTAAGTAACAACGCTTGTTTTAAATGGAATCACATAGTAAAACTATTCACTAATTTATCATTTTCTCAGTGCAAAGATAAAATAGTAAAATTTTGAATATCGAAAAAGGAAAATGTTCAAAAAATGTACGGATATGAACTAGATATAACTTTGAGCTTTTATAACAGCTTTTTGTGTTTTTTCTAAAAAGTTTATTGCAAAAGTTATTGTGCACATACCTATAAAAAGTGGCCACTAATTAATACTTGAACTTTCATGAAACTTTTAGATCTTGTCTTCTCAGATGATTTGATCCTATTCTTAATATTTACTGCTCTGCTGTTTGAAGATTGCCCTACAATAGAAACTGTAGTTGTAGTTTTTGAAGTTGGGTTTTGATGACTTTATATATCTGATCAAAAATTAAGAAATATGTGTTAACATTGTTGGTTGAAAAGGTGTTTAAATTAGAATTATAAAATGCATTTTGTGGGTTAATAACTTTAAGTCATCCATATGAGAAAGATAAACAGAAAACTTATTAGACATATTCAAATCTAAGCTGTAAAATTGAAGGTAGATGAGAAAATCATCGTAGCTTAAATTTAAATTCTCCCTACACTAGCTTATTAAAGACTAATCTAGTTCTATTAGCCCTCAAAAATTAAAAAGCTTTTGTATTTTTATTTTCATCTCTGTTATGTATTTTTTGAACTTATTTGTGATACAAGTAGTTTTAAACACATCATTAAACACTTATATTATAAATAGTATCTAATAACTATCCTACATATAAAGCATGTAATGAAATATATCTATTATATACAAATATGAGGTATAATTTATTGCATCAACAAATATGTATAAATAAATATTCCATTGGATGATTAACAAATACAATACATTAAAGAAATTGAAACTCAGGATCTTAACTTTTATTGTACTTTCCAAATGTGTAAAAGTGTACACGTTTTTTAAAAGACTTTTAAGAAATGTGTACAGTTATATGTACAGTTATGGTACTTTCCAAACGTGTAACAATTACATATACATAATATATTTACATGTCCAACCATAACTACACTATTTTATTAAATCTATAAGAATCTTTGAACAATTTTTTTTCACATTATCAATTTTAACATTCCAAAAAATCTATATTAATATCATTTAAAATCTGTTAGAATATTAAAGAATCTTCTAAATATTTGTGTTTTTCTTTATTAAGAAAACTCAAGAACCTTCTCAAACCTTTATTGACTAAAAGCTGTATAAGAGTTTATAAGAATTTTTTGAAGTTTTTTAAAAGTTTTAATAGAAGAGATATATTGTATTTTAAAGATATTTAATAATGTAAATTATAATTAAATTTTGTTCCTTGCATTTCATAAATGTATTCTTCAATGTCTTTGTAATATTATGATTTTTTTTTTTATTATTTTAATGTAAAATTTACAATAAAAATAACTAGATTGATTTATTTCTTTGTTTATTTATATTTTAATAAACTACTAAAAAATAAAGATTAACATATAATGAGAGTAAAATTTATGATTTCAAAATTATTTACTCTATGATCTCAAAAATAAATTATAAGAATATTACAAAAATCATATCAAATTAAAGAAATTTATTTTAAATATTAATAATGTTACAAAATTATAATTATTTATGGAAGTTGTAACAATTGTTGTTTTAGAGATTGCATATTAAATATTTTGTTAGGATTGTAAGACATGCTTATAAGATTGCACACACTAATTGAATTCATTAATTACATTATTTTACACCAACCGCCTAATAACCATATCTTTCAAATTGTGATAATGTAATATTTAAAAATCTATTATATTTAGCATAATTTATATTTTTTTAGTGTTAGTTAAAAAACAACTCAATTTCTTTAATGCTTGAACTAATATGACTAAATATTATTTTGCAATCAATACAACTATCTGTTACTTATCAAAAACAACATGAGGTCAGCAAAAGCATGAAAGCAACAACTGAGAGAAGATAAGAGAGACATTTACAATGTCATTATTAAATCTGCAGAGATAGTTCAAGGTGGGGCCATAGAAGGTAGAATACCTAAAGATGGCTTAGTAATTACATTAGTAGTTGTAAACTTTAATAGAACATATGTTGGTAGTGGTGTCATATGGCGTGATTTACAATCTGGGAATATATGGGGTATCTAGCTATAGAGAGCTTAGTTTTAACTTATTGGCTAAGCTCCAATAAGTGATTTATTCCACCTTTAACTTATATACAAAGTCTTGGCTCTCAAAACCTCTTCACTTTATATAAAATATCCAAATTATAGCAAAATCCCTCAAAATATATTTTTTCCACAAAGGATTTCTTTTTTTTGAATTTTAGAAATTCATATGTCTTGATTCAACTATTCAATTTTTCTCAAATTTCTAGATAGTGTAGCACTTATTCCTAAGCTTTACTACAAAAAAAAAGAACTATAAATTCACTACCGATCTTTTGGCATCTTAGAAATCCTAGTAGATGCTTTAAATCCAAATTACAAGCACCTGAATACTGTTTTCTCTATATCTCAAAAATCCAAACTCCAAATGCTACAAAATTTGTGTATAAAGTTTATTAATATGATAACATGCATTCTTAGAATTTTTTAGCCAAATTTTTTTCAAATTGCTTAAGATATGGCTCGAAACACAACCACTAGTAAATCGGGTCACTTACTGCCCTTAGATTGCAAGTATTGACTTCAACTTCTTATAACTATTTCATCCAAGATTAGAATTCATCAAGCAATATACAAAAAGTGTAGCTGAAAAAATGCTCTATTCAATACTAGTCGCCAATCCTTCATTGCTTTCCAAATGAGTACGTTATGTCCAAAAGAGAGAAAGTAGGTACAAAACCCACACCCTAACTTTGAGCAGCTATATCTTTCTCATAAAAACTCCAAATCACCCAAAATTTGCTTCAAAATCATAATAAAAATCTTGAAATTACTAAAATTAGCTTCCAAAGTTTGAATGGCCTCAAAAGAGTAACCCTAATCCCTAGTAAGACCTCGAGCAATGTCCTTGAAGCCCATTGGACATGATTTTTTGCCCATAAGAATGGAGATTTTTATTATCCATATGGATGCCCTAACTTCTCTTTTTTGCTACCAAGACCCCTCTCCAACCCTTTTTTCTAATAAGATTTACATAATATATGTCCTAAACACCAAATAAAAGAAACAAAATAAAATTTTAAGAATCACCAATATTTGATGAAGGTGGCTCTAATTATATAAAAACTTTTATCAACTTAAAATCAATCTCAATGGTAGCCCTTTTAAACAACCTCTTCAAAGTAGTAATCTGATTATATTTTGTGTCTAACTAAAATCTAATAATGTGGCTCTTACTATATTGTGTAGTAAATTGTACATTAAATATTTATGTGCATTATTTTTACATTGTAGCTGAACCACAACACAACAATGGACAAAGTTAACTTGTGGTAGAGTAGCATTAGGCTAGAGGCTATGTATTTTGAGCACATGCAAAAAACAAAGTTCATTATCTAATAATTTGTGTGAGTGTTACTAATTCTAATCTCTTTACAAAGCTCTATCTTATGTGTGCTTATTATCCCGATAGCTCAAGTAACACTATCACATTATAATCAATACACAAACAGGGATAATTTGCTACAATTGACATTTTTATTGAAGACAGCACAATATCAGAGCTCAATCTTTAATATAATAATTCAAAAAAAGAGTCAAGCCAGTGAAGCCCTCACACTTTATAACTCTGCTCTCATCACATCTTGGTTTATATTGTCATATAAAGTAGATCCACTAGGGAGGTCCAGCAAAACTTGAATAAGGAGGGGGCTCTCAAATCGACTTTACATGTGCTTGCCCAATATCCATATTCACCACTCATTTTAGAATTATCACCTCCTATTTTTTTTATAATCCCATCAGACATCACATTTTTGTCCTCACCAAATCCCTCTGCTAAAACAACATGATTCTTTGTTTGCAAAAACCATTAGAAAGCAACTTGGACACCATCATTATTATTATTATTGTATGCTGGCAAGAACCGAGCTCAGAAACAAAATTTCTTGCCAAATGAGAGATTGGAAGTATCACTGTAAGACACTTTTTGTGAATAATTTTTTTTTTTGTTATTTGATTGTGATTCTTTACAAAATATATTTTGTTGGGGAGGTCACGCTCTAAACGGTGGTGACTCCCAGTAGAGTCGTGTTTGTTCTGTTTATGATGGAACAGTAGTCTACAACATATTCGTTACTACTTTGGTTAGGATTCCAATACACCCCCTTAGCAAATATGCGAGGACGGTAGAGTTTCTCCTCCAAAAACACCAAGCGACGATAGATGCGTGGTGATTTTTGGACCACACATGGGCTTCTTAAGCAGATCTGCATGCATGTCCTGTGTAGGGATTTGACGGTAGTAGATGAATTGTGTTTAAGCTCTAATGATCTTTGTCACATTTCCTGTGTAGGAATCTGTGGGAGTAGATGAATTGGAGCTTTTGAAGAGAGGTGAGTTCGCTCAAAAAATGGTACGGCACTACAATATGCCTGGTGTGGTTATAAAATTTCATCGTGTCAATTATGGCGAGCGCGGACTGATTGTCACAGAAGATTTGAGTGGGTGCCATGAGGTCATGTCGCAGAGTGTGAAGAAGATGCCATAGCCAAACCACTTCGGAAGCAGCGTTAATCTTTTGTACCGTTCATGGGGCAATTGTTTCAGCCCGTAGAGTGTTTTATGGAGGCGACAAATCATATCAGGTTTTGGAGGTGAGATGCCTATGGGTGAATTCATGTAGATTTTTTTTTTTTTTTTTTTTTTTTTTGAGATGGCTGTTAAGAAACGCCGTTTTTTACATCCATCTGGTAAAGGTGTAGATTGTGTTGAGCAACGAGGGTAAGAAGCAATTGGACTGATTGGATACGAACCACCACAGAAAACTTGTTATTGTAGTCCAAGCCGAGGACTTGGCTGAATCCACGTGCGACTAACTAAGCTTTGAAGCGGTCGATGGTGCCATTTGGTTTCAGTTTTAATTTAAACAACCACCAACACGTGATGGGATGGCGACCGGAAGGAAGTTCAGTGAAGTTCCAAGTTCTATTCGCAGCATGGGAGTTGAGCTCGTCTTCAATGGGGGATTGCCACTGTTTTGCTTTCGGAGAGTAAATGGCGTGCTGGTATGTTGATGGCTTGAGTGCAACGGAGGGCAACTGAGCTTATATGGCCCAAACGTCGATGCCACAAATATGTTTTGGTGTTGAGCATTGTGTGATTAACCTGGATTGTAGCAGATTCATAAATCATTGAAGAATACTCCTGGAGACGTTTTTTCAAGGATCGTCCTAGAATCGGGTCTGACTTCGCATTTTGGCCCTCTTGCTTGGATATTGCAGCAATGCCGAAGGCTGGTTGGAAGAGCAGTGCCTTGTTTCGCAACTAGTTTGGATGTGAAAGTGCAGAGAGGGACCGCAAAGACCAAGTGGGAGAGGTCACCGCTTTGAGATTACAGGGATGGCCGTCGATAGGAAGGTTCGCCCTAGTGAATGTTGATGAACATCATTGCATGGAGACATTGCCAAAAGAAGGGAGAGACAAAGTAGAGCTGTGAAACAGCGACGCCGAGTTGAACTGATTTGGTGTGAGAGGGTGTGGTAACATTGAGACAAAGTCATTGTCATTGGTACTAAAGTCGGATGCAACATCAAATTTTGAGGCTTTGCTGTGTACGGATCCCGGGTGGCAGAGAAGAGGCCGCAGTAGCTGGGTGTGCATGTTGCTGGTTATTTGATTTGCTTGCAAGACAGAATGATTTGGTTCCAAGGTTGTATCCAAAAGGTACAGTTTATCAGAAAGTGGACATTCAGCAAGTACGAAATCATTATAGGAGAGTAATCGGCATTTTTTTTTTTTTTTTTTTTTTTTTGAGTATTCCTTCGCCAGTTCGGTGCCATTTCGGTCATAATCATTGACTAAAAACAAGTTTTATTTTTGCTAATCTAGAATATAAAAGGTGTTGGTGAGTCAGATGGTGTACCCATTTACCATTGTGATTTCGACTTTGCCATATCCACATATGGAGAGTGTAGTGTTATCACTAAGTTAAACTTTTTCACTAGTTAAGAAAGACTCAAACATGATAAATTGATTCTTGTTATGTACTAAGTGGTGTGTTACATCAATGTCAATGAACCATTGGTCGTCTTTGAGTACTCTAGATGAAATTCATTTTGCTGAGCAATGTGTTTATGTGAAATATACATGTGTATAAAATGTGGGAGGCATTTCTTTCACATTTTCAGATTTTCATATGTTCTTGTGTTTCTTGTTTTCAGAGAAAGTTGTTGCCTTACTTGCAACAACTTTGGATTTGTTTTTAAAACAATTTGAGTCCCAATATCCCAATGATATGGGGTGGTTGATTTTGTTTTTATTTTTGTATATTTGTCATCTTTTGGTGATGGTTTTAAAGCATTTCTTGGTTGCCACTTACTCGTTCTTTTGTATCTTGCAAATAGAGCTTGAGATTTTGAGGAGGACCCTTTCATAGATGTTTTTTTTTTGAAAGAAGATTGCAATTAATTGTGGTAGTGTCACAACTTCTATTGTTCTTAGTGTTTGAATGACTATGTATGACAGACATATATATATTTACTCTAATATTTATTTTTATGATTAAGCCAAAATAGATGAAAATAAATTTATTTTATAATATTTTTTAAAATAGCTTCTTAGAAGCTTTATAGACATTGCTTTGACTTGTCATGTATTTGTAGTTGATTGATAAATTAGAAATTTGGTCAACAAGTTAACAATGTATTGGTAGCTTGCGGAATAAGTCAACTATGTGGTGTACATATAAAAAACTTACCTTGTAAGTTAAGATATGTGTCTTACAAAGTCAACATGTTTTGGAGGACTTATAAGATACTACTACATAGCTCCTAATTAAGAGTATATATGGAGGGAAGAATGAAGCCTTCTTCACTCTTATCAATGCCTTTTTAGTCTTTAGTTTTTTTTGAAGGCTTTCTAATCTTCTTGTCTTTGGCAATAGCTATTCTAGTTTAATAACATATCATCTTTGAGTGACTAATTAGTTCTTTTGAGTGATACAAGAATGTATTAAGGGTTTCTTTTTTTGAGATTCATATCCTTGAGACAATACCATATTGTAATAGTATTGATCTCATTAATGTGAAAATTTTCATTTGTGATGGAATGATCACTCTTATAGTGATATTATTAGAGTAAAGTTCTCAAGTTCTATAGATGTTGAGTTACTAACTCTTCTACCTTCATCTTCATTGTTATGAACTTCTATTGTAGATGTACTTGAGTAACAATGTCACTTGTGAAATATTTGGTTTCTAATGATAGCCATGCTTCATTGGTTGTTTGGCATGTTCTTCCATGAGAGAAGATGGACACAATCTCAAATGGCTACAAGTGCAACATGGTCTTTTTTTTCTTTCATGTTTGTATTTCAGCTTGATTTGTTGGTAGTGATTGTGTTGTTGTATTTGCTTATAGAATTGGTATAGGTTCTTTTTCTTTGCTAGAAACTATCTCCCACATCTCCTCCATTTCAAACTTCATTTTTATTTTTTGTTTCCACATAACATACCAAGAGCCATCAAATTTTGGCTACTCCTTGGTGTGAGAGAGAGGGTCTATTGGTCCCTCAATTTCTGTGCAAAATGTCTTTAGCATAGCCCTTTCTCTTGTAAGCTAGTTCTTTTAGTTTCCTTTGTTTCTGAACTTGATTCTTCTAAGTTCTATTGTTATTGTCGCTCTGATAGCATATTGGAAGCATCACTGTAAGACAGATTTTGTGAAGAATTTTTTTTTTTTTATTATTTGATTGTAGTTCTTTACAGAATATATTCTGTTGGGGAGGTCACACTCTGAACGATCGTGACTCCGAGTAGAGTCGTGTCTGTTCCGTTTGTGACGGAACAGTAGTCTACAGCATATTCGTTGCTGCTTCGGTTAGGGCTCCAATGTGAAAGCACCAAATTTTCTCTTCACACGATTAGCAAGAATCTGAACTAAGCGTAGACAAGTGCAGACTTCATCAGTGGGCTGATGTGACGAGTGGAGCTGGTGCGCACACCGCCGCCATGAAATCTGAAATCATGCTCGTTCCGAAAGCCGCTTACAGGCCTCATTGTGGCGGCGGCAGTGGTAGCAGCACGTTTCCTTTGCATTTGTGCTGTGTGTCCACAGGAAAAAAAACGTTCCAGAAGTGTTTCAGAAAAAAAAAAAAAAAAAAAAAAAAAAAGTGTTCGAGAAGTTTCAGCCTTGGATAAGAAAAGTTGACTATCTCTCCCGGAAGTAGTCTTTGTCTCCACACACCTGAGTTTGAACATGTCTCAGTACCTCAACAAACGATTGGAAGCTGAGTCAAAAAACCATGCCTCGGTCATATTCTCTCAAGTGCTCTGAACCAACTGGGCGGCAACTGTTGATTCAAGAGATGGTACTGGAAGCTGGACTAGTTGCATGGTGGGCATTCCGCAAGGACTAAAATATCAGAAAGCTGTTTTTACAAAGTGGGGTCTTCAAGAGATAATGTACTTCAATCCATTTACAGCAAGGGTGCAGAATTGATTTTTCCTTGTGAATCTTCACCAGCTCCGTCGACTTCGTATCTCTGCGCTTGAGCTCTTCCACCGTTTCGTAGCAAAAATGAAGGGAGGACTCCGGGGATGAAATATAGTGTCCCTAGAGTTGGTGTTTTATCACTCTGAGAGATGAGGATTTCAAGAAAGATCATACCATTGTTAGGCTTTGGGTAGCAGATTAGAAATAACGTGTTCTGGAGCAGGAAGTGTAGATGGTTTGGATGGTGTGACTAAAGCATATTAAAACTCTGCGGCCTTTTATCAAGTAATCAGCCTCAATCCTTCAAAATCAGGAGTCAATTTTCGTTTATTTAATGGTACACGACCAATATTCATAATGTTGTAATGTTCCTAGACAAAGTGACTTGAAACACAGACCACACGGTACAGGTGAGCTGAATATGTGACATCTGATCTCAGACGACGCAAAACTGAAGGTCAACAAATCCATCAATTCCAACACCATGTACTCCTGCAATTAATGTGAAAAACAGTTGGCCTCGGTAAGTAGCGTGTTAGTCTTTTCTTATGGAACAAGAGCTGCTGTTTGGAATCCTAATCATGCAGATTTAACACACTAAATGCTTGCCAGAGGTAGACCTGGGTTGAAGAAAAATCATTTCCGCATCTGTTATCACTACCAATCTGCAGCTTCACATTGAGCTGAAGATTACGGGTCCTCAAATCCAAAAACTCTAAAAACGCCTGCAGTCATTCACAAACCAAAGTGCGAAACTATTAGGTGCCAACTAGTGAGAATATCCAGGTTGAACCGCAAAATTCGAATATAAAATCTTGCATATGGCATCTACAAACCTTCAATTCAAAGCAAGCACTTGCAACCACTCATTTCAACTCACAACAAACTGTGAAATTGTGCCTTGCATTAAGGAGGAATTTTGAACCTCAGTACTTTCCAAACATCATCATCAAATTGAGCAAGTAATCTATCTTGAAAAGAATCTCAAAAGCATTCCAAAAACACTGAGCTTTCCACAAATTCCAACTTTTCATGAGAAATAAACATTCGAAGTTTAGCTTCTCCTCATTCATTCCAATTTGTTTATTTCAATTTCTCATTCAATATGCATCCTCAAATTACAAAACACATACCAAAACCAATGAAAACTACATTCGAACACCTACGATCGTCTCCAAGAGCAGCCTGTATCAGGCATTAGCAAACAAAAAACGAACTGAAACTTAAATAAGTTAACATCAAGAAACAGATTAAGTGTGTAAAGACTGATATACCTTCGTCAGTTTGGTACTTGTTCTTGTCATCAGCTGCAAATGCCAATAAATTGTACTTCGGATTCCATTCAACACTGTTCATTGCGGCCCGGCAAGGTATTTGGAACACTGACCGTCCAGTATCCACCTCAGCCTACAACAGAGTTACATGTGCATGAGAACAAATTCGAACTACAGAACATGAACTTTTGCGAATGCATAATGACAATGAAGACCCATGAGACGAATGAACATATCTAACCATCAACCAAGAGGACAACCTCATGTTTTCACATTCTGAAAAGCTGCAGCTTAGTGCAGAATTATATTGCTTGAGTGGCTCATCTTCACCAAAAGATCGACTTTCTTCTATGGCAAGATTAAGAAAACTTACAATGTCAATGAAAAGATCTTCACTGGCGGAAGCAATATATTGTCCGTCATGGTTGAAGCTGATTGTGCGAACAGGCCACCTTGAAAATGGATGAAAACATACGAATGTCAGCAAAGCGGCAAATTCAACACAGTGCATTACGCTTCTTTTTGTGGTTGAGCATCTACTAGCCGAAACTTGCATTCTTCTAGAATCAGAATAAAAACACTATCGAAAAAACAATGGCTAAGTTGATTTCTTCAGACTGAAACAAACATCACAATTTTGAACCCTGAAGCTTGAAGCCAGGCCTGAAGTATATGCTACTGACAAGAGACAATCAGAGAACCACAAAATGAAGGAAAAGTTGTCAAAACTTACTCAAGCTTGGTAAAAGTCCGCACGCAGAGCATTTCAGAGACATCCCATAGACTAACCAACGCATCCGCACTCCCAACAGCTAAGTACCTGATTCAGTTTGTAGTAATCAGTTTAGCACTACCCAAACACTTGTCATCCAAACCGGAAGATGGTTAAAGGGGCATGGAAAAGAAGTCATGATCGGATAGAGACAAATTGAGAAAGAACCTTCCAGTGGGATCAATTGCAATGCAGTAACAGCCAGCTGTATGTGCAACTAGCGTTTGTAAAGTCTGCAACGAGGGATACTCAAGAACCTCCACGGTCCCTGTCGAATGAAAGTCAAATGAGGATAGAAGAGCATTAAGAATGTACAAATCACAAACTAGTAGAAAACCACATAAAAATCCTTTTAGCATTACATACAACACCTAAAGATGACTCAAAATTTAGTAAAACCTCAACTCACCATTCCCTGTTGTGAGGAAAAAGAGCTCGCCAGTTGTATTCCACGCAATTTCATTGACCTGTGAAGGCCAAGCTTTGGTCAGGCCGCTATTCAAATTACCTGATTCACCAGCATTGTCAGCATAAACATTCAAACTCACAGTTCAATAAGAAGATGAGAACACAGAAAATCATAAACCGGATTTACATGTTTATCATAGAAAAAAACTTCAAAAAGAACGTGCATTGGTAGATTAAAATGCAGTCAAGAAACATCGAGATCAAAAAACGTAAACATGTTTGAAATCTAAAAGACGAAGTGTCGAAATACCTCATAAGTGAATTTGCGTTTATGAATTGCCTTAAACTTACGAACATCAATGATAGTCAACTCGTCATCCTGCAAAGATACATACGCGGTTGCAGCATTAGCTAAAGACCCTAACCTATTCTTACTTAGGCACAAAGTGCAAGTAAAAGGGTAAGACCAAAGTTTCACAAATAGTGCGTTCAGAATGTCACGTCAACAAAAATCGAAGTCTCTACTAAAACGACCGAACAAGGAAGACGTCCTTGTAAATAATCATTGTTCAATAAAAGTTACTTAGGAACTACTAAACCTATCCAGAGCTCCACTCAACGTTGCGAAAAGGAAAGTTGCGGCGTAAGCACTTACTCGATTGCCGACAGCAATATGACTGCCATCCGGTTTATAGGTAATATTGATGTTCTCGCCACTCAATTCAACTTGCTGAGAGCATTTACCCGCTGCAAACAAGTATACTCATCGTCAAGGTGTTAGAAATCCTAATTTTTCCAGTCATTTAATCAATCCACAACCCTGTAGAAGATGGGTGGAAAGGAGATTTAAAGAGTCTCTAAGCCAAATACTATCACAACAGAAATTGCAGAAAAGATTTAGGAGCAAGTGCAGGGAGTAAACAAGATAGAATCCGCCCATAAGATACAGGAGGAAAGTAAAGCTAGGGGAAACATTCATAAATACTCACCGCGAGCATCCCAGAGACGCACAGTCTTGTCACCCGATGCCGTTGCCAACAAATCCGCATGCTTGGGATCCCAACACAGCTGATCGACACTGTCCGTGTGCCCCTTCAACTCCATATCTTTCGCCTTACTCTGTTCACATATTGCTTCTTCCATTAATCAACAAGTCTTTTTGAAATTTCTCTTAACTTATTTGCTTTTTTGTTGTAGAGAGAGGATTCGGTTAAGCAGATCATCAAAGAAAGATTTCATACATGACCATGTGGCTCAATATGCCAGATTCGTGCAGTCTGGTCCACGGAGCCTGAAGCCAACTTTTTGCCAGCACAATTCCATGCCACCGAATGCACCTGAACATGTACCAAAAATGATCATCAGCATGCATCACCAGAGAGAGAGTGAGAGCGCTCTCGTTTCTGAAACTCAATGTAGCTTCTATTCACACCCGAACGATACGTAACCATACACAAGGCCATGAGTCAACACCCAATGATTCGCAATTCATTGAACTCCAACTCTCCTCTGCAACTCATTGAACCCAAACTCCACAAATTTTATGATGCACCAACCTCCCTCTCACATGCAAACCTATGACCTACAGTAAAATCCTCAAAACCCAGAGAGTACTATTCAAGAGCCTTCCCATAAAAAAAACCATCGCCAGAAGTGGGTTGAAAAATCGCCACTAATTTTATTTATTTATTTATTTATTTATTTATTTATTTATTTATTTATTTTTCCAAACACAGTATAATTTATTTAAAAAAAAAAAAAACACACACAAACAATAGACCCGATGGACGAAAAGATTGCCAAACGACCCGATCACCAATGCTGAGCTCCCTGCAAACTACCAAACAAAAAATCCAACAATCTTCCAGCGCTGCAGAAAGAAATTTCAACAGCCACAGACGCATACCTTCTTTTTGTGACCTAGAAACTCCCGCGTAAGCAAATTCTGAAACAAGGCTTTCCCAGTGACAGGGGCAGAGGGTCCCGGCGCCACATCCACCACCTCCACAGTCGACATCTGCTCCCTTGACGCTCAAAAACCAATGGAGCCTCCAAAACCCAACTCCAACTCTCAGCCCTTCTCCTGCTGCTGTTGCTGCTACTCCGTCACCTCCCTCGGGCCTCCACCACTACACGAGCAACACATGCTTTCCCACTAATCCCTCAATGCACCATGATCACAGTAACTGCAGTCGCCAGTCAGCAAACGCATCGCTATACTTCGTAGCTCAAGGTCGTGATCCAGCAGCACACACATAGAAAATCCCGCACCCACACATTCACTCACTCAGTAACGACGGCTGCTACTGATCCTCCGAATGGAAGTGCATGTCTGAACACACAACTCTCGAACTAATAACTTTTATGTGCTGCCCACATTTTTAGCCACTCTAGCAATGCCTTACTTCCTTCGACGAGACTTGATCTTCTTCTCCTTCGCCTTCGAGGTTTTCCTTTTGTACCTTGCAAGCCTCCTTTCCCCTGGCTACTAGATCACCGAGGTGAAAGAGGGTACCCCACGAGCACAGTTTCGCTTGGAAATAGACTCCAGCTTGGATGATCAAAAACTACCCAAAACTGCGTGTTTTAGGGTTTTGGTTATTGTTTTGTTTTCCGTCCTGGTCCTGTAAGATATCGTTTATCTATTCATTTATTTATTATGGTTAATGACACTAATAGTATGATATTGGATTTGATTAAAACTTACAAATTTTTGTAAAACATATGTATGCACATATATTGTGGAATGTTAAATGTATACAAGCTTTAATTGAATCAACACATCCAAGATGAAAAATATGGTAATCATTATTACCAATGTAATAGTGGATAAATGAATCTAGATGTCATTTTTATTTTCATGATTGTTAGGATAGATGGATCAATTCAGTAAAAACTTGGATCTATTTAACATTCCCTTATCTATATATATATATATATATATATAAATTGTTTTTCATGGAGAAGCATTTATTGTAAAAGACAATAATTTGTAATTCTAGATAATTTTTTATTTTATGAACAGGTTTGTAATTTTTTACTTAAAATTTAAAATGTTAATATTTGATTTAGTATTGCAAAATAAAAGTGAAAAAAAGCATTTGTTATGTTATTCTAATATGCAATAATAATTTTTTGGCATTATTTTTAAAATCATTATTTTTTTTAATTTTTTGGTAAATAAGATTATGATATGTTTTATTATCTTCATAAAATTAAAACTATATAATATAAAATAGATAAAATATGTATCATCTTAATTATAATTATTCAAAAAAGATTGCTTTAAAATATATGAATAGAATTTAAGTAGTAATAATATGTCAAATTTAACAAAAATTCATTGATATAAACAAAAGATAAAAATAATAATTTAAAATTATATTTAAATAAAAAATTGATACATGAAACCTAAAGTATGAAATTTAAAATATTAGATTATGTATAAATAATTCACTTTCATCGATTCATGCATTCATTTATTCACAAATATGTCATAATAATAGTTTTTAATTTGAATGTGTATCTTTGGTATCACTACCACTATTATCATATATTGTTGTTAATATTGTTGGAATTCATGTAATTAACTTCAGTTAGTTGTTATTGACTGTTAAAATTTATTGTAATAAATTGTATCTTTATATAAAATACATCAAAAGAGGATAAACCAACAAGATAAATCTATCACGGGTACACTACATAGGAGACCAAATAAGAAGTTGAATGAAAGAGTTTCAACAAAAAACTAACAAAAAATTGATGAAACCAAATGAGTATAAGATCAACACGAAGAGAGATGAATTAGACTCTAAGAGATGTATTATTGAGATTAAAGATCTCTTTAGCCTCAACTCCAATATATACTAGGCATTAGGTTGCTTTTTAAGAAGTTTCCATATTGCTTGAAGATGAAGCAATCTTAAAAAGCTCTTTAAGAAGTTTCCATGTTGCTTAAAGATGAAGCAACTCTAGGAAGTTTCTCAGATAACTTCTTTAATCTTTCTAGAAAATTTTAGAACCAACTAAAATATTCTAAGAACCTTTTAGAACCTTCTAAAAATCTTTTAGAACCTTTTAAAATCTAATAGAATATTTAAAGAATATTCCTAGAATTTTCTTATTGAAAGTTTATAATATCACTTCTCTTTCTAACTTCAAGTTCTATATAGAGCATCAATTTCATATCCGTTTTTATTTTTTATTTTTTATTTTTTTTTATTATATATAATATCATAGCAATAACTTCATAAAAAAAGTTATTTTAAAATAGATTTAGGTTTTTAAAGATAGCGTTGATGAAATTCTTGTACCTTTTGTAATACATTAACTAAATTTTTTGTTGATTCTTATGTACATTCATTAATATCATAGTTGTGTTAATGAATAAAATATTCCAACTTACCTCTTTTTCATCAAGAATCAACAATCATTTCTACCTCATATTGAACATGATTATCTATTTCAATGAAAGATAATGATCGTTGTATTCTTCTTGAAATAGTTGATTCTAAATAAGCCTCTAAGAGAAAAATATGAAAGACTAGATGTACTTTTATAGATGTGGGTAGTTTCAACCAATAAGCCATTGCATTGATTTTCTTTTGAATACAAAATGGTCCCAATCTTTGATAGTCCAATAGTCTTTGATTCATCCTAATATTTTGTCAAAAAAGCCATACTTTATCTTCAACTTGAAAAGCAAGGATTTTATTTTATTTTATTTTATTTTTTATAAATGCATGTAAAGATGCTTTATAAGAATCTTGAGCTACTTATAAATGAACTTCCAAAGTTGTCTAAAATTGTGACAATTATTTTGCAAGATCTTTAGCTAATAGATTTTCATCCTTTGATGTATCTAATAAATCAAGCTTTGGATGGTAACCATAATTGAAATTAAATAATGTTTATTGAGTCGAAGCATGAAAAATATTATTATAAGCTAAAGATAGATGTGAGATTCAATCACCTTATTAATAATTAATGGTATACTCTAAATATTGCTCCAAATTTTGATTGACTTGTTTTATTTGATCATATATTTGAAGATAGAAGGCAGAGAAAAGTTTAATATCTACCTCCTATATTTAAAAAAAATATTTTCTAAACTTTGATATAAATTGAGGTCCTTAATTAGAAATGATATCATTAGATAGGCCATGATGTCAATATATATATATATATATATATATTTTCAAAAAAAAGTCTTATCATTTCTTCTCGAAAAATTGTCTTTTTGAATAAGACAAAATATGCCATCTTTTTAAGTCAATCCACAACAATTTAGATATCATCAAATATAGTTGATGGTCGTAGATCAATGATGAAATCCATTGATATTAAAGATCATGGTTGCTTTGGGATTGGTAATGGCTAAAAAGTTCATAAAGATGATACTAGGAATTTTTGGATCTTGAACATATGTCCCACAAGAAAACAAAGTCTTTCATGGACTTCTACATTTGAACCCACCAAAAATCTTAAGAGCTAAGCTTCAATGATTTGTTAAATCCAAAATATCCTACACCTAGAAAATCATGACGAGATTAAAGAATACAAAGTCACTTTGGTTCTTTTCAAATACATAAATGATCTTCAAAATATAAAAGATCTTCCACAACCTTGAATATTTTATTATCAAGGCACTGCTTGATATTATAAGCTAATAAGCTCTTAATTAATAATACATAAATTACTTTAAGAAAATTTGAATCTAAAAGTATAATAATAGAAATAATATAAATCCATATATATATATATATATATATATATATATATATATATATATATATATATATATATTAGCTTCAAAAAATAGAACATTAGTGATCAAATGCTGCTTCTATATCAAAGACATGAAATAAAAGATGATGCATAAACCAATGAAATCTTTGGCAACAAAAGAGGGACAAAATAAAAATAAATAAGTACATATACTAAAACAAAACTAAAATAGCTTATTATCAAAAGACAAGAAAACTAAACACTCTTGAAACTAGAATAAAAGAAAGAAAGAAGTAGACAAGAGTGAAGAGGGCTTTACTTTTGTCACTATATATACTATCTAACTAAGGGAAACGTGATGAAGTTCTATAGAACCTCCAATTTGTATTGACTTTGTAGGACACATGCCTTGACTTACAAGGAATTTTTTTCCATGTAAGGGCCACATAGTTAGCTTGGTCTTCAAGCTAACAACATATGTAGCACATAGCCAACTTGTTGACCACGTTTCTAATCCAAAAAGTTAATTAAAGACACCTATAAAATCAAAGCAGCATCTATAAAGCTTCTAAGAAGCTTTTATAGAAGATATTATAATATTAATTTATTTTTACCTATTTCTACTTATTTCTATTTATTTATACATATAATTGCTCGCTTACATGCATATGTCTGTGACATAACCTCCCCTTCTAGGGACGAGTTCCACGAAGAGCGATCATTATATATTGAAAAAATCTATGATGCGATGAATTGTATTTGCCACATACTCAGATCTTTGTTCTCTTCAAAGATGGTTGATAGGGCCTCTCAACTATTGATAGTATCCCATACCAGGGCGAGAAGACCACCTTGTTATTTGATCATTGTTCAGGCCTTCATAACTTCATTCAAATAAAATATTTGAAACACCGTCAGGAGTTGTTGCTACCTCTAATAAAATTACCAAACATCGGGAGTCTCTTCTAAGGTTGTGATACCAAATGTGTTGTATCTCGTTATTTATTCGAGAAAAAACATGTCATTATTAAGGATCTTCATCTCAATTGTATCGACTTGAAGGTTGTAATAATTACAATATGTCGTCCAGTAGGTCAACAAATGAAGGCTCTTCAGTCAAATCCACTAATTGTTGATTCTCCATCTCCTTAATGTCACAACTACAAAGAAGCTACAAACAAGGATTGAAAGTAGAATGTTATCTTGCCTGGATCTTGTTTTTTTTAATAAAGAAGGTTTTCATCTTGATTTTGATAGATGTCATCGATGAAAAGCCTCCATTGCCTTTGTTGCATTTGCAAGATTCTTTATTGGCTTCTATGTACATTCATTAATATCATATCCGTGCCAATGGACAAGTTATTCCAATTTATTTTGGCACCGCCTTGAATCTAGGACTTCTTCTACTTTGAACTCTTCATTATTGTCCACTTCTATAATAGGAGGTGGAACTTGTCTTCTTCTTAGTATGTCTACTATCTTGTATGGTTCAAGAAGAGACACGTGGAATACTAGATAGATTTTCATTGATTCTAGTAGGTGTAAACAATATGCAATTGGATTAATTTATATAGAAATAGGAAATGGTCTAAGTCTACGATAGTCCAATTTGTCATAAGGACAAGTGGTCTTGATATTACGATGAAGTAATCATACCTTGTCACCCGTGTAGAATGGTAGTTGTTCCTTTTGATAGACATTTGCATTGATCTTTTGTTGTTCTTGAGCTTCTTTTAATTGTGCCTTCATTGTTGCATGTAGCTCTGATAAATGATTTGCCAAATCTTTCGTCACAA